TGTGTGTGTGTGTGTGTGTGTGTGTGTGTGTGTGTGTGTGTGTGTGTGTGTGTGTGGTCGTACTGCTCACCTTTCAATCTGTGACAGGAACTTTGTCTCGAAGATGCCCCGAGTCTTCAGCCGCTCTGAGGGTTTGCCTCTGAAGAGCAGGCCCTTGGAGGTGAAATCTAGGAGCACGTTCCTCACAATTTCTCCAAGGTACATCCCGCTGATCATTTTCTCATACCTTCAAACGAAGAGAAATATAACTGACAACTTGGCATATTTACATGGTGGTATAATACACTACTACACTGTTCAGTTTTATTTATTACATACAGTCAAAGCTGTTTTTCTCTACTTAACTGGTTACTATGCACACATATGTACAGTGCGTTCAGGAAAAAAATATGAGGGAAAATTAGCAATTATACCCTTTTTTTTGGGGGGGGGGGTGTTTGAAAGTGAGACTGACTGTACTTTGTTTCTAAAACAATACTTTGCTTTTAATTTTACACATAAATACCTCTGTTTCCCAGGAAAGTTTGAGCAATCATCAACAGCATGATCAAACTGGGTGCAGAAGTCATCCAGTTCACCACTGTCACCAAACGCTCCCCACTCAACATTGACGCACATACGACCCTCGTTTCCCTCCACCATTTCAATGTTGTGCATTTCCTCCATGTAGCAGGCGTTGGTGCCGGTGCCTGAATAAAACAGAGGTGTTACATGTGCATTTCATTAAAAAGTGACACATCAATTAGTTCCTAAAGAAACATCGTCCTCTGTTTACTCAATACATTTAAATATTCTTAAAAAAAAGACAAAGCAGGAAAGGTTGGATGGCAGACAGACTTACCTACAATAAGTCCAACCTCACATTTGGGGTCCTCGTAGCCACAGGTCATCATGGTTCCCACTGTGTCGTTCACTACTGCCACAAAGTTCAAGTCAAATTCCTAAAAACAAAGCAAAACAAAAACAAAAAGATCAATTTACAGCTTTCACAAGCAATTTCACGAGTGCGGGGATAAATATTTAAATGTTCACAATCCCAACTGCAAAAAACTTGGGGCAATGAGTAATTATGAAAATAAAAACATGATGCAATGATTTGCAAATGTCAAACTCATATTTTATTCATAACGGAACAAGAGGGAATGTCCAGGCTAGTATTAGCACATAGAAAGCCTGCCTCTCTGATGGTATGGTGGTGCATCAATGCCTATGGCAGGACGGCTTACACATATTTGCGACGCATGGCTGTCATCAAATTTAAAATGACTTGCTTTTCCACAAAGGCAAACAGTTTGTTTAAAGTATGATGTTAAGAACGCAAAACCCAATTTTTTAAAAGAGATATACTTGTTTTCTCAGTACTGTAGGCACTTAAATATATTTCTCACTGTTCTCACATAAGAGCGTATTTTATTTGATGTATCTTCTGGACAAAATAAACTGCCTGATGCTTCTTTCATAAGAGCAGACTGTCTGTATTCAAAGGTGTGAATCACATAACTAAATCCTTACAGACAATGTGGCTTCAATTAAAATAATGAGGAATGCTTCACAAAAGTATTCACTAAGCAAATGAGTAGGTTGTCATTTTATCTGAACAGAAAGCTCTTTAATGTGAAAATTCATGTTCAAAAGACCCTGTAGGCCTGACACTTAATAGGTAGCAAAAATATTGAAATGATCCACATCTTTTATCAAAGCCAGGTAAAATTAATCTTTACTGATGAATAAACTGTAAAAATATACACTAGTTAACTTTTCATTGCATATTATATCCAGTTAAAGTGCAGAATTATGTGATTACATGGGAACGATCATATTAAAAATAAGGCTGAAACTAAATACATCATTTTCATAACGAAACACCTCACTCAACACTGCTGTCAGATTTAAATGTTGTTTCTGTCTGACATGTAAAATCACCAGTGTTGTTCGGTGTGCTTCACATAAACCATTCCTTCAAGAGAGGAGCAGACTTAGTAACCATATTTTTGTGTTTTACATTAAGAGCCCTCCTACAATCCACATGTCCTATATCATCTCTTGATCAGAAACAGCTGACTCAAAGAGAGGCTGTTAGCCCACAGGTTTACCGTATTTATTCGTGTATAATACGATCTCATGTATAATACGACCACCCCCCGCCCCACCCGCCGCCCTTTTATGGAGCTTAAAAAGCATAAAAAATTTAATCCTCAAACTACGTCCAATTTCATACAGACTTCAAGATTTTTTAGCCTTTGCAGTCTTTGTACATATCAGTAAAATGATCATTGGACTGTTCTTTTTACTTTAACAACATATGTACTAAAAGGTATTTTGACAACAAATATATATCAGCAAACTATGATTTTGAGCATTATATGAATTCTGGCATTTTACACATAGTCCACCAGGATGCACCAACACAAAAGTCAGAGACTTCACACGAGGTTTGGACCATCTTCTGGGGGAAAAGCAGATCACTTCCTACTCGCGAGTGCCCCTCTGGTGGGGAAACTTTTTTCAGGGATACAAACTTTTTCAGAACACCGGTAGACGGCAGCCATTACAGACGAACATGTGTTTGTTGTTGTTCCAGGAGCGGCTCGGTCACAYGCTAATGTCATTAGTTCGTTATTATTACTGAGCTGCAGGACTGCTTTTCCCCCCTTTTTTCCACATCATGTCGCCTGCTTGGATCTGTTACTATCTCGCTCTGAAGCACGGAGGAGTGTCAGAGGTAAGCTCGTTTCAAATGATTTTTATAACATGGTCTCATTTCCGGACTCAGGCATTTTGTGAATGAAGCCGATATTTCAGTTAAAATACATAAGTAAAAATATTTATCCGAGTATAGTAGTACCCCCCAACTTTATGGATGATTTTATGGATTAAATTTTACATATTATAATTGAATAAATACGGTATATCCTTTTCTCAGCATGGATTGTGGATGATTGCTCAGTGCTCAATAAATACCTGAGAATTTTGGGTTATAATGTTAGTGAAAAGGTGCTGGTTTAACTTTGAACACACATGCAGAAAATACAAAAATCTTTATTTTTGAAAGTGAAAATGTGAACTGACCTGTTTGCGGTGAACAGCATCTTTTAGTAACTTAACAACATCTTTCCCTTCACAGTCGCTGGCTTTGAAACCCTTGGTCCATTTTAGGAGGATCCCCTGAACAAATGACAGCAGGGATTTGGTTAGAAAACAAACCTGCAACTAAAATATAATAAATACATTAGTTACAGTTTTAAAAATAAAATGGCAGTGACTGCCTAAAAACATGCACAGTTTGAAGTGTAAACTGTTTGGTAAATGGACTGTACTTATATAGCACTTTTCTATCCATCCAGGACACTCAAAGCTCTTCACACTACAATCTGTGTCCTCATTTACCCATTCACACAGCACTCTATAGATCTCTACAAAGCTAACGTATAATCATGGAGACTAATCAGTGCCAATCACATTCATACACTGATAGGACACACATCAGAGGCATTAGGGGTGAAGTGTCTTGCCCAAGGACACAACTACAGAGACCGCTGGATTGGGGATCGAGCCGGCGACCTTCCAGTTCCAGGACGACTCCCCTARCCACTCTGCCACAGCCGCCCCAAAGCAGTGGTTCCCAACCCTGGTCCTCAAGGACTCCTGTCCTCCATGTTTAGATGTTTCCCTGATTTGACACACGTGGTTTGAATGAATGAGTGATTAACAATCTTCTGAAGACCTGCTGAATAGCAGGGAAACAAGTACAACATTAAGGATGGGGGTCCTTGAGGACCAGGGTTGGGAACAGCTGGTTTAAAGAAAAGCAAGACCAAAAATATTAAAAGGTGCTGTCAGAGGCAGCAGAAGCTGGTAACCACACACTCCCTGAYGGCAAACCTAAGAGACATACAGAAACAGACTAAAGGATTTTGCCTTAAACAGTCTGTGCAAACACTAAAAACCAAATATTACAGTCTTAAAACAGGAGTGATAGAAGACCCTATTGCTCTCATGTGAATTTTTATGGTGTTTTATGTAGGAGATATAATAATTAAAGCATAAGAAAGCTTGGTTGGGCACTCTCTGCATTCTGGGAGTGATTTGTAAGAAAATGCTGTAGCAGGGAGAGTCACACTGGGTCTCTCACAGCTGATAAAATCCTCTAAATTTTGATGTGTAATTTAGGAAATCGCAAAAAAAAAACTTGTTAAAATAAGAAAAGTTTGTTTGCTCAAGTTTTGAAGGATTTTTCAATAGTTACAGTGACATCATCAGCTGTCAGATTAACATTAATGAAAAACCACATTCAAAAACTGTGAATGGGTCAAAATGTAAAAGATATCAAAATGTCAGTTCAGATGTGACATCCAACTTTCTGTGACTCATTTAAAACATGATAATGTTTCTATTRTGATCATTTTAGTGAAAATTATTGATTAAAATTGGGTTTTTGTGCAGTTATTTTTCCCTGTCTCTGTCTATGTYGTGAAACCTACTATCAAAAACAGTTCCAATCTCTCAGACTGAAGAAGTCTCTTGGAGGAGAAACGAAACGTTTCWTTAGAGAAGAACCCGTCCAGAAGACCTACACAAATTTTTTTCTTTTTGATTTTTTACCTGGATTACTGAGATGCATCAGGACACCAAAAACAGTTGCACTTATTCTAAGAATACCAAGAATGTATTTATATTTTCTATGAGGTAAATGTTGTTTTAAACACAACAAARCAGGGAAATAGTTTAATGCATAAAAAGTCAACAGACCTATTGTCAAAAAGGCTGTAATTAAAGATGACAATTCTCTTTATCATTTCAGCTCCCWGTGCTCTTCTTCATCTTCTGTTATATTCTCTACTTATTTTATGCTAACGTCTGAAGTTTAACATCTCATCAGTTTCAAATTAGCTGTAAAGTCAAACTCCTGGCAGGCACTCAAACTTGGTTCTTTTCAGTGCTCYATCACCTCGCATTTCTAAAGCAACATCCATATCTTCTTGTAGTAGTTGCTCCACAGACTAAAGCCAAAAAATTCTCAGCTATCATTTTGATGACTGCTGATCCCTGATAGGATGTGGTAGGTCACAAATATGGTCACATCGTAAAGCGTGGAATTTAGAAAATAAAAAAATAAAAATAAAACCATCTCTGGGGGGGAAAAAGTATTTTATTTGGTAATAAACATAGAAGAGATTTTCCTTCGATGACCTCAGTGCACGTGGATCACAACTGAATGGTAGAAGAGAGCAGAACCACTATAGACTCCAAATGGGATTTTGATTTGTCAGCTATGACTTCCATAGCTTTGGCTCTCATTCTTATTAACCTTTCCCACCCTGTCTATACTGGACAGATTGTTCGTATTAGATAATAAAAAAAAAMCCAGCATGTGCTATTTCTCAAATCTTGGAAACATCCACTGAAGAGAGCACAAATGAAACTAAATGAAGTGTTGTTACTGTATCACTTCTGTTAAAGCTGGACCTAATAAGGTTTAAACATATCCGTGTATATGGAGTGATTGTTTGCAAGACTCTTATTTGCAAGTTTTAACATAAAAGTTTTTTTCTTTTGAGACATTTTGAGTACTGAATTGAATCAAGTCATTTTATTTCACAATAATCTCAAGTAACTCTTTTCCATTGAGCAAAAGGTTGTTGATTTTGACCATAGTATTAAAAGGCTGTTGAGAACCTAAATTGGTTATTTATTACAGGTGTGTTGAGGATTTAATTGTCATTTTAAATCATATTGAAAACCAATAAGATGACAGAAAATGTACCAAAATCACCCAATGACCCTATAATATACAGGCTGATTTTGAGCAGTGGGAGCTACTTGACTGACTCTAGTAACCTTGTCCTGATTTTTGGGCATCAATTAACTTAATTTACACAGAGCTGTGAAGCTGATTAAAGGCATCAATGGTAGCTGATTATAAGAACAAGATTTGAAGGGTCAGTGCATTTTTTTCCAATTTGTATCACCTGTCTGATGAAGACTAAATGAGCTTTTGTTCTGACAAGTAAAATAATTAAATATTCAAAAATAAATAACTAAAATCAAATAATTTTGGCCAAACATCCAGAGGAAGTTTTGTAGCGTCTTTACAACAATGGTTTTAATGAATGTCTGGCTTTCTGTAAATGTCGAGCTGAACTTTTCTTTGCTTCTGTTTATCTTTTTGACCTTGATGTAAGTAACGTGGTGGATTGTCTTTGATGGGGAGCCAAGGCCACATACACAATCACATTCCCAAAACACCCAATTATGTTTCTTTTTAGAAAACCCGTCTGAATTATACCGTATTTTACACATAATGTTTAGAGGCACAGACATACAGTTTTATTTATTGCACAGTTTTTCTAATTGCCATCATCATCTAAATGACACTCCCCATAGTTCACTGATTGTTTAACCTTCCAGCTGTGGTGAGTGCTGAATTAGTACCACTTATTTTTCAAGGTAATATGTTGTTGTGGAAACTAAACTTGTATGATTGAGGCTGACTTTGTTTGCTTCCCGTCAGTGTGACTGGTTAAAAAAACATTCAGCTATTCATAGTGAGCTCTTTGATTACTTAATACCGACGTTCTTCTGAGGAATTWCAGATGTACCTTAGATGCTCTTTACTTTTACTAAAATAAGAAGCATTAATTAGTTCGGGGAAATCTTTAGAATTGTGGTGAAATTACTTGTGTTGTGACTTGGTTCTACATAAATAAACTGAACTGATTTAGTGCCATCTTGAGATCTTTCATCATCCTAATGTCAATCATACCAATAGTTCATGAAAATCTAAAGAAAACAGGTCAAATTTATTGTGCTTTATGCTCAAAGCCAGCCAGATGTAATCCATATGAAATTAAAGCAGTACCTCATCCAGTTTGCTCTGATCACAGGGGAAAGAGAAGGTAAATCCCAGAGGTAAGGATGCACCTTTCATGCCCATGTATTCCAGGAAGTCAGCAATGCAGTGGACAATATGGTCGAACAGCTGGAAAAAAAAGTTGAAGAAAACGCACAGAATTATCATATTCAGTCTTGACTTAAAACTTTGAGTGGTTTTTTATTACATTAATAAAAAAAGAAAACTTTCTTGAAGGAATGAATATTGCCTGCCATATTCAATGCAGAAGTTTTAATCAAAGATCCCACACCATCAGTTAGCTCTCCAAGAGTTGGTGATAACTACAAACACACCACRTTTTAGCCCAGTATCAGTGAAAAAATAACTGAGGTACAGTCCATTACACACATGCAGGCCTTTATAATGCCTTAAAACAGGGGTTTTCAAACTGTGGGGTGCCTCCCTTAGTGTGTAGTCAGTGGTTTTGGAGGCGGGCATAACGTGAATCAGGAAGTGGGTAAATGAATACGTTCACACTGCAGGTCTTAGATTAGATCTTTTTTGCTCAGATATTTTTTTTCAGTGGCTTATCACGATATCCTTAAAAYGTGACCTCCTTCAGACTTCAGTACGAACCGTAGCAATTCAGAGGCAAAAAAGAAAAGTTAAGATGCAACCTGTTGTGCGCAAAGGAAGTCGTCACACGCTGCAGGATTTGTTTGAGGAAGTARCCACACATGTTACATTTATTAGCTTGTGTGCGGAAGGTAAAATATTGATTCCAACAGGTTAGCATTGACACGGTCCAGCGTTAATTTAGCATCATCTGTTGCTGTAAATTTACAGTCATTGAGGGGCTGAAGACATGCAGAGTTCTGTCCTTGAAACTCTCATCAGGTTGGTAACATTAAATATTCTTGGACCGATCCGATCTGCTCACTACTACCTCAGTAAACTAACCAGATGAAACGAGACATCATCATTCAGTCACTTTKTAACACATCTGACAAGTTGTATAGGGCCAAAAACAAATGGATTTGAGTCACATTTACCTGCAGTGTGACTGAAGCCTAAAAGAAAACAAGAAAAGGATTGTTGTGATGTGATTAAAAACAATCWGTTTTTTAAAGCACCGATGTTTAAAAGTTGTACTAAAGAAAAAGAAATAAATCTAACTTTTATAAAATATGAACTAAAGTATAGGAACAACAAAAATATTTTACAAAAATAATAGCAATGACATTATATTTATATGTGTGTGTGTAATTTTTTAAAACCTCTGCCTTAAAAAGTCCTCAWGCCTCCTAAACCTCTTCACATTTGATCACATTACAACCAAATTCAAAAGTATTTCATAGAAATTGTGAGTGATAGACCAACACAAAGTAGTATGTAATTGTGAAGTGGAAGAAAAATATGGTTTTCAAAATATTWAAATTTTGCTGAATCTACTTTTTGGAGTTTTATATCATGTTACAATGTCATTCCCTCATCAAAAACATACTCAGAGTGTTGCTTTGACTCATTCATGCATATTTGAGAAATCCTTAAACCTCCTGGGGTCGGTGTCCTGCATGTTTTAGGAGCTGCCCTGGTTCAACACAGCTGAACCTAAGGAGTGCCTACTTATTAAGACTCTGCAGACCTTGATGGTATACTGAGGAGGCCTACTAATTAAGCACTCCTTAGGTTCAGCTGTTTTTGAACCAGAGCAGCAACTAAAACATGCAGGACACTGGCCCTTGAGGACTGACTTTGGACACTGCTGATTTAGATGGACTATAATGCGAAGTCAAGTTTATTTTGAATACATACAACATTGCCAAAACAACTGAAGTAACACAATAGCTTGATTGTGGTATAGAATTAAAACTATATGCCTGAAAAAAAAAAACATAATACCCCTATTTAGATAAAAAAAATATGTAATAAAAACATCTACAAGCTGAAAATTTTGCCCATTTTCCTTGCAAAATAACTGAAGCTCAGTTAGCGAGAATGGATGACATCTGTGAAAAGCAGTTTTTAAGTCTTGCCACAGATTTTATGGATGTATTCACACTAGGCTTGTTTAGTCCGCTTTAATCAAACTCTAGTTTGTTTGCCTATAAAGTCTGGTACGTTTGGGGAGGTGTAATTGTATAATAAAACTCATGTGGGCCAAAATAAGCAATTTTTGGTCTGCCCAAAAACCTAGGTTTKGATTTGGTTCAAGTGAACTCTAATGTAGTGTGTGAAACCAATGTTCTCTGTGGTCTTCTGCCTCATCTTCCTCTCATGGTGAGCCCGTTGTTGAAGTGTTTTTCTTTCACATATGGTATTTGCCAAAAACAAGAAAGAAATCCTACAACCACTAAAATCTGACATCACTCCATGTTTGTTTACATTTCGTGAAGAAGGAAGTTGTGCTCAGTGTCTTCTTCAGAGGTTTTCATGTCATTTCCTTCGCTGGTTCTTGGTGCAGCCCCACCACAGGCAAAGAGGTGAACAGGTTGCTTTGCAGGGTTTGGTTTGTTTGACACAAGGCAGTATAACTGCAAACCACACCAGATGAAAATGTAAACAAATGTTACAATTCTGGGGTCTCATTTATAAAGGATTGCGTGGAAACCATACTAAAAGTGAACGTACGGCCAAAAGGCGGAAATGGCGTACGCCAAAAAAAATTCAGATTTATAAAACCGTGCGTACGCACGTTTCTGCGCATCTTTCATTTAGAAATCACAGCCGCACGTCAGAGTTTGCGCACGAGGTCCTGCCTCAGGTTCTACCCTCTACACGCCCACACTCAACCATAAACRGTCAATACAAAGTACCTCATGAATGTTAAGATGTATTTAAATCAGTAAGCTGATCAATGCCAACAAAAGTGATTGGTTCAGACACGCTCCGTCATGCGTCTGGAGGATGACAGGTTCTGACTGACAGCTGCTCACGTGAACAGATTGTCTGTAACTGACACAGATTTTCCCTCATTTTGCTTTAGAGTAATCTAATGATTTTTATAAAAAAAACTCAGCTTCAAATTAATTTTCCATCAGAGCCTGAAGGACGATAAAAACAATAAAATAAAATTAAATAAGTCAGATAAAATTAAAAGTAAGTCCACCGCTCTTCTCCTCGTCCTCTCCCCCTCCTGCCTGCTCTGTTATCTGCGACAGACACCCCCGCCCCACACACACACACACACACACACGCACGCACGCACCCCCCACGCGTGACAAAAACTGGCGAGGTAATGCGCCCTGCGCGTGTATCCAAAGCGTGACTTTTGCTGTGTGGGATTTGCGCACGGGAACTTTGATTTAAGATTTAAGTTTTTTTTATTTCAAAGGTCCTCATGGCTCAGCAGCAGAAGCACACATATTACTGTTAAGAAAGCTGATGATAAAGTTGAATAAAAATCTAAGTCTGATGAAGGTAAATTAAATATCTGACAGTGATCTTTACACAGTGGCTATAATTCCTCACTTCACCATCTGTGTCGCAGCTTCACGTCTCCAAAATRAGCGTACGCATGGGTCAGAGCTGGCGTGAGGCACCGCACATTTTCACGTCAAGTTTGGATTTTATAAATCACAACCTTGGCGTAAAAAGTGGCGTACGCAAGTTTCTGGGCTCAAATTGTGCGTACGCCAGTTTTATAAATCCGACCCCTGGTCCCTAATCGAACACAGTCTACCAGACTATCAAGTGTGAATACAACCTAAGTTGGACTCAGGTCTGAACCAGACTGGTCCATTCCAACACATGAATAGGCTTTGACCCATTCCATTGTAGCTCTGGCAGTTTGGAGTCTTGTGGGAARGCGAACCTACAACCCAGTCTCAAGTATTTTTCAGCCTCTAACAGGTTTCCTTCTAGGATTGCCCTGTAACATAACACTATCCATTTTTTATCAACTCTGACCACACTCTGTCCCTGGTGAAGAAAAGCATTCCCACGGCGCGTCACAAATGTAGAAAGGTTTAAGAGGAATGATTCAAATACCAGGAAATAAAAGCTGACATTCAGAACTCTTGCCTCATTCTAATCGTTTGATCTTAAACCCAAATTACCCCCAAAAAATTACCTTTGGAGGGGACTGTAACTGAAGATGACACTAAAGAGATGGAACCCCACAAAGTCCATTACCTCTTCCCCTGTGCCCTGCATGGTCTCCTGAGGGATACTGTAGATCTTCTGGTGCATATCCACTTTTTGTCTCTTTTCACTTCGAAGTCTCACCAGAAGAACTCTAAAGCTGGAGCCCCCGAGGTCCAAAGCCAAGAAATCCCCTTGCTCTGATCAGGACAAAACAGTACAATTTTTTTAGAAAGTCTTTATCCCATARTAATTCTATGGCATTTTACCTTTAACCTACCTGTTCCTTCAGGAGTGGATCTGACATAGGTGGGGAGCATCTTGACGCTCGTCTGAYTGTGGGTTTGCTTGGACAGGCCTAGAACCATCCCCTCCGTCATCCTCCTCTTGACCTCAAGCAGCTGTTCCCGACTCAAACGCAGCACGTCGAGGATGCGCTGCCGCTCGGCTTGCTGAGCAGCGACACGGTAGGCTACTGCTGTCACCATGGCTGCACCTTTCCCGCTGCCACACTGTGACTGCAAGAAGCGCACATCACAATCTGGAACAAGTCGCCGCAACATTTTCTTCAGCCTTCTGGGAAATCTAAAACAAAAGAGACATTTTCTAAATAAATGTTCCCCGGTGGTGTACAGTTTTCTTGGATATTAACAAGATGGGCAATAGAGCAGGGGTGTCAAACTCCAGTCCTCGACGGCCACTATCCTGCATCTTTTAGAGGTTTTCCTGCTCCAACACCTGATTTTGATGGCTAGGTGATTAACAGGCTTCTGCACAATTTGAAGAGTTAATTCAATCACTGAGTCAGGTGTGTTGGAGCAGGAAAACCTCTAAAAGAYGCAGGATAATGGCCCTCGAGGACTGGAGTTTGACACCYCTGCAACAGAGAATCATTTTACTTAGGCCTGAGTCACAYTACAAGATTTTAAAGCAATCGGCCGATTTTCAAAGACTGAGAGAYTCCACACGAGGATAAAAAATCATGGATTTACCAGGTTTGGTCCTACAGTGTGTGGTGTACAGTCACACAGCAAGAGACAACACACCACACATGAACAGATATTTCATTCATGAACATTCAGTTGTCAGATATTAAATCACGCAAGACTTTCTGAAATCTCGCGAGAATTCATATGTCCGAGGAAAAATCTCACGTGACCTCCAGAAAGACGTGAATTCAGAGTAAATAAACATTTGCAACAAGGAAGAAACAATGTTGATCGTTTGCGGACTATTTTTACAGAGGAAAAACAGAGGAAAAACAATTCCATAGGACTTTTAACATCCAGCGAACTTTCTGGTGAGTCATGACAGTTTTTTGTCTTCTGTATTTTGGATTTCCCTCCGTGTTTACGTCACCTCRCTTTCTGATTGGCTACACGTCTCATTCATTGGGCTGAGAGCTTGGTTGAACACTATGCACACGGTGATATCGGGCCAAAAAAAATCAAACATGTTGAATATCCCGGATTTGAGGTCGGAGCGGTCCCGACGCCCTTCCGAGCCCATTAGATCCCTCTTTACTCACCACACACAGTGGGAATATCTGCTATGATTATCTTTAGAGCCATCATGATAATCTGGACTTCCTTAAGATTGCCGGAAGGGCAAAAATCGGCCTGATTTTCTTGTAGTGTGACTCAGGCCTTATTTGTGGACCACTTTTATATTACGTTATAGCCAGAGAGAAAATTTGGACTTTGTTTTTCCACAAAGGATCATTGTGTTGCTTTTCAATTTTCAAAGACAATTAATACAAATGTTCTTATATACTGTATTGTCTCTTCGGAGGAGTGCTTGTGATTTGTTGGTGTCTCGGGGAAAACACAAGAATCCCTCAAACATGCACATCCTCAAAACTAATAAAAAGATGATTTATATCTAGACAAGCACTGGGTATTTACAGACACAAAAAGGGAAGAAAGCATGGCTTTTGGTGATTGACGTTTGTCTGACATTTCCTCTGAATTATCCATTATGTCAACCTTTTAAACTTCAAATAAACTAATTCTTTGACCCTTTGTTGCTTCGACTGTGTCCTTAAATCTCTCTCTTGTGCTACTTTCAGTACACATTATAGAGAATAGAAACATGAATGGATGCATGAACATAAAGAACTGCGTTGCTTGTCTGTTTTTTACCTGGTACCTTTTCTCTCTTTAACTTTGTTTTTATGTTAGAATACAACTAAGACAACAATAGAGACCAACCTATTTATCAAAAATTAAATAAATACTACTACGAATGCAGACAGAGGAAATAAAATGATCCCATTATGATGTATTTAAAATAACACAGATTTACCAAACAAAATTTGACACATCTCCAAAAAGGTAGCCTGGTTAAAACCAGACCCGTCCTTCACTTTGCTTCGTACAAGGGTCTGGACTTGCTGCATAGAGAATTGTTTCTTGCAGGAGGCGTGGCCTCTGCTGAAGCATGTGTGTGTTGTCGCTGTGACGGAGGCTAAGCTAAGAAGCTAACCGGAAATCGCGTCTGCTGTAAGCAACCCTACTGAGAGGAGAAAAGTACCAAGCCGTAAGAGACGACTGTAAATGAGAGCTGCTGCTTTGTCAGACAAATTTATTTTAATTTGGAAGTCTTATCAACACAGACTGGCTTCATTCACTTCCCCCACTGCCATATGCTAAACTAACTAGCAGACACTGCGCAGAACATCRACGTCATTCAAAAACTCCTCCTTCGGTTTGCTGATTGGCCCAGGTAAAATAAACTACAAGCAGACACTGCGCAGAAAATTGACGTTCTGTTCTCTGATTGGCCCGGCTAAAAATCTGCCAGCGAAATCCATCTCAWTGGGAGAAGTCCCAGACGGAGMAGAGAAGGGAAACTAGAATTGAGCGGAGCTGCGTAGGAAGGCAAGGGCCAGGCTACCAAAAAGGTGGAATTTCATGTTTCACTGGTTGTACAACTGAATTAAAGTGGCAGTGACAAAGAATTTGTGATGCTTCATAAAGCTGTATTATTGAGGAGACTATGTGGACTGGAAGGTTATATTTAGCATAGAAATAAATAAAAAGAATAAAAGGAACTAGGGCAACAACAAATAAAACAAAATTGCATGAGATTAAAAGCCCCTCAATCTGCATTTTAAGCAGACAGATATAACAATTTTGTAATCCATTAAAAAAGTTAAGCACACAAACAAAATGAAGGACCTCCAATAGGAACATTACAATAATTAAATACTGTAATCAGGGGTGTTTGTGTTTTACCTTGACTATAAAGATRTCTGTGTGTCTGTGTGTGTGCACTGAGGAACACTTGTGTTCAGTCAACCACTTCTGATAGTGACAGAACAAAGTGAATTATAATCAGATGAGCATCAGTGCAGATTATTAGGTTAGGTTTAACAGACAGGCCTTAAGCCCATATTTTTATTCATGTGAAAAGAAGACTGATGTACTGAATGTAACTCTTAGGAACTGGTCTTGTATCTAACAGAAAACTGACAGAGATTTTATGAAACACAGAGAGAAGTGACAGTTCGACATATCTCCGGTTGTAATTTTCATTGTGATCATTAGGCTGGAAAAATATTTCTGTAATGCACAGGAAATGAAGCACGAAAATACACAACTTTGTAAATAAAAACTTGAAAGTCAGTCATGCTGATGACAGGGGAGAACTGTGTGAATGAGCTCCAATTACGTAGAAGGCTTAAACAATAAACATGAGMTTACATAGGCTTCCTGAAACACTTCAATCCATTTCAACCCAAATACGCTCAGGGACCTACAGGTACACAGGACGATTAGTGAMGATACACTCTCAATTGCCTTGGTCGTGCTCCGTCTTGAAGCCGCTCTATTTCATTCAAAGCAACAGTTAAAAAAAAAAAACAAAGCAACTCGACTTATATTCTGTAGTTGAAGAGGTTTCGCTTCCCAAGGGAGATTTTTGTGGTCACRTCTCCCGTAAGCCAGGCAAACAAACACACTAACAACTCACTGTTGTTAGAGGAGTCTAAGGCTACGTTCACACTGCAGGTCTTAATGCTCAGTTCCGATTTTTTGAAAAAATCCGATCTTTTT